TATATATATATATATATATATATATATCAATACTAGATTACTTATGATGGATTTCCAACCTTCAAGTTGTGTACCATAAGTTTCCGATTTTAATTGGTACTTTGTAGCACTAGCAGTGTCCATTTTGCTTCTGTAGAACATTATACATATCATGAAATAAAAGTGATATGTGTTATTGAAATAAATTATAAAACATCTTGTAAATATTAAATCAATAGACTTACTTTCATGCTTGTTTAATAATATCGTTAGTTCTGATATCTGTATAACATATTACAAACTGTTGGAATAGCTAATGTAAAGAAGATGTTGAGCACCTTTCTTTGACAACTTTCTGTATATTATTATATTCAAAGTACTAACAAACTAGCCAACCTGAACATTTACAGTTTAAGGGAAAATGAGCAGTTAAATATTTTGTAAACTTTATGGTTTTCAGACAGTCAGATAATTGTTGAAGTATAAAGGTCACAGGTGTTTGCTGTAAAACATTTAATATGTAACTAAAACTGCAATCTAGCTAAACATGGATTTATGTTATATAAAGTCTTTTGATATTAGAAAATTAAGGGAAAAGATTCGAGAGAGACGAGCTATTCAACAATTGCTTCTGAGTGAGGAAAGTCAGCATGATGGTTTGGATGGAATAGCTGCAAAATCAGACAGCAGGACTCACACTTCATGGGTTGAGGTACATTTTATTTGTCCTTTGATATAAAAGATGAATACATTTTTTTGTCTTTAAGGAGTTTCACTTAGTGGATTTTTAAATCCAAGCGCATAGTTTCAACTTTTACAGTTATGACAGTCTGGATTTTATCCAGGCTATTTTATAGGCCTGAATTTGACACTGTTCATTTTGCCATATGATCTTAAAATCTTTAAAAGTCAAATGAAGTTTTTCCTTATAATAGTAACATAAAAATATGAGAAAGACAAAAGGTACAGAGGACAATTTAACCCCTCTAACAACCAGCAAGAGCAGCAAAACTAAAGCTGGCCAATGAGTGTATTTTCTGACTGATTAAAGTAATTGCTTTTAATGAATTGGTATAGTGACCTTGAAAATAGTACCTACAAGCAAAAAAAATGAAGATTTGGTAGTAGATGATTGGCTGGTTGCCTTTCGTTGATATAGCAGTTAACATGGTGGTAGCAGGTGCTACCAATCAATTGCCTTTCTTCTTAGCAGCTTAAAAAGAAAACAGAAGGTTGATAGTGGATGCTACCAGTCAGAAGTTCATAATTAGTGATAATTAGTAGTTTGTCATAACAAAGCCAGGGCAAGCAAGTTTGTTGGCAATATTTCAATTAATTGTATAGTTATCTTTCTTCTTGTTAGCAGTTTAAAAAGAAAACAGAAGGTTGATAGTGGGTGCTAGCAGTCAGCAGTTCAAAATTTGTGATAATTAAATTGCCCAGCTTTATTCTTTACACACAATTAAGTTTTTACATCTACCTATTTTGTTGTACTACACACCCAGACTATTATCCAGTTTTAACATCTCAGTCTAGCAGCTCTAGTTCTTGCGGGAAGGAACCTTGCAACTTAAAGCCTTGTGTACTTTATCATACTTGATATTTGCAGACATACTACACTGATCATTTATTTCTTTAAGCAAAATAAATAAATTATATAGTATTTGAAAAACAATACATGATTAAAAAAGCTATAAGGTAATAGGTATATCATGTACTCATTGTTTCTCTAGTCTGTAAACTGAGTGGTTTTAGCACTCTCAGTTAGTGCAGTGATTCGGTGTGGACTAGTATGCTCATGCATTGTTCGTACAGCATCTTCTCGTGGTATGTTAGCCAGATTTGTAATATTCATTCTACAGCAGATCAAGAAAATATAATTTCTTAAAATTGTTGTACAAAACAAACTAGCAGGTACACAGGTATTTATTGTATTTGGTAATTAATCAAAATAATTCTTTGAGTAGCAATTAAATTGATTAGTGTCATGTAAACTAATCGATTATTTAAAGGTAGTTAATTTGTTAATCACATACGTAATAGTAATGTCATTACTTTTCATTTCTCATTGATGTTTTTTATTTCAGTGTAAGGTAGGAGCTTAGATTGTACAATATCCCTTCTTTGTTGTTCTTCAAGCATACAACTGATGACATTCCCATTTCTATTGGTCCTGAATTTCAATTATTCTTTTATTGAAATAATGAGTGAAAGTGTTCAAAATTGAAGCATGCTACTTGAGAATAAAACACTTCGGAAACACAATTTTATATCATATATATTATATAAATGATATGAGACAGCCAAGCATAATTGAAGATTTAACATAAGACAGGATTTAGTAAACTCTTCCACATAGAAGACTTGTATAACTATTACATTTCCCCCTCAGAATGTAATTGTACTAATATTCACAGGTGATTGGAATTTCTTAATGAAACTGTAAAATGTAAGGTGTTGTTCCAAATCTCAGCTCTAATAGTAAAGTAATTAGCTGTTTTTCTTGTAATGAGTTTTGCCTGATTCTTTTTTTATTGGATAATTGGTCATACCTTGACTGACAATACAAGACATCCAATAATTACAAGTATAGAATCAAACAGGGAGTGGGGTTGAAGGCTTCAGATTAATCTTAGTTGTTCATGATAACAATACATGTGCATTAGTGGTGTAATAATTGAATACTGAAATATTAAACACTTTTTTTTTGTCTTTGTGATGCATTTCAGGAAGAACAAAGTACTGTGATTCAAGATATTTCAGAAACGATAGCTGAGGTAAGTAGTAAATTGTTTGTGACAACTCTCAAGCCTACAATATACTGTACCCAACATTTCAGTACTGTTACACTGTAAATCTCTAACTAAAACATAGTATCAATCATACTGTGACCTAACATTCCCCCTTTTGTTTGCAGTGTCACTTTTTCTCAGTTGTGGTCTTTTCTTTCTTTACTCTTCTGCCGAACACTTGCTTCAATATATGTGTGTGTGTGTGTGTATATATATATACATATATATATATATATATGTTTATGTTTTTGGCTAATGTTAGAGGATAATTCTTAAGTAAATGAAATCAATTCCAGAAAACATTTTTTCCACCTGAAGTTATTGTATGTTTTGCTTTAATGGGGCTATTTTCTGTACTCCAGGATATGTAGATAAGATATAGTTGATACTTTTAGAAGTGTCAGTTTTATTAGTCCCATAATTTTCAATTCTTTTTATGTATTTTCTTTGAATTTTCAAGGAAAACGGATTTTGATTTTGAGTGTTTCTCTGTGCTTTTAATGAGAACATATTTTTTATGTGCTGATGTAAAATTTTAGCCTTTCTCACATGCAAAATACCTATTCTCTTTAACTCAAGTGTGAGGCATATAATGATTCTCTCTTGAACTCATAGCTTAGTGCTTCAAAACTTGTACCTTTTTATAATGTAAACACCTTAATTCAATTAGCAGTAGGAAGTTTAATCCTTTCTTTAATTTTCAGGTAACCAATGAAGACATGAAAGGATCCTCAAAGACCAACCTAGAAGATCTTCAGGCAAAACGCCAAAAGAGACAAAAAGATGTGATTTTTCTGTTATAATTCAGTTTTTATTTAAACTGTTAAAATAATTTAAGTTGAAGATCATGAAAAATTATGTAAATGTTTTCAAAAAGAATGTTGTGAATCCATAACGATACTTTAAAAAAATGGCATGTATGAGAAATGCTTTTTACCTTAGTAACCGATGTCTATTATTCATCCAGTTGTTACTGTATTAATTGTATGCTTAATTACAGAGATATAGAAAAAAAAATAATGATAGTTAATATTGATAATATAGTGAGACAAACACAGTAATTTTCTTGGGAGTGACTATTCTTTGATAACATATTTTACAGTTAAATGTAAATATATGTATAGAAAAATATTGCAGACCCTTATAATGGTTTTATTTGTATTTGCCACTTAAGAACACTCAGTGCAAAGTGATTTTGGTTATTGGTGGTATAAGCATCATTTCTGATATGGTACCTTACCTCCATTCACAAATATAGGTATTCAGTGCTGCCCTCAATATGCAAAAATATGCATGCCACATGCCTTGAGCTCCCAACTACCCCACGATCAACATGGTTAAACTGCATCTCGCAATGCTATCATCATGATGTTTTTTGTTTATGTTCTCTTCCCATGTTTTTTTTGAAATTTCATAGGAAGTAGAAATATTTTACAATGTTTTTTTTTCCTTCTTCACTTTAACAGTTTTTAAGTGATTACTTACCTTTATTGTTCTTCACAAATTTTTCGGCTTTAACTGAAGTTTATATTTCCACTTCGAAAATGATATCATTTACTTCCAGCACACTTACACAGGCTTCAGGTGCTGGTACTCAACGGAGAAATTGTCAGCTTTTATATGTCAGGAGATTGATTGTTATATAAGTTGACCTTTGTTGGGCGTCGAATTTGGGGGGGCCCACACATTTTGAATATGATTTGCATACTTTGGACAGATAAACTGTTATACAGTTAGAGATTTTTGAATATTTTTTATAATAATAATATTATTTGTTCTAATTTGGGTTCAATAATATCAGTTTAGTTAGATATGTAAATAATTATTGTAAGGTTAGGGTTTTCAATTGGAGATTAGTGATATCCTTTGTACTACAATGTCAGATTAGGCTTAACAAGTGTCATTTTACTAGTAAATTGTAAATTAGGATAAATATATTGTTTTCTTCAACAAATACCATCTAATACATTTTTTATTGTCAATACACATGCACTTAATTTTAAAATATAAAGACTATTTCATTTTTGTAATTATTTATATTTTCTACTTCTTACAATTAATTTGGTTTGTGAAGACTCCTAGGGCCAGGGTTCGCCCAACCTTCTCCAAATATTGCTAGCCTTACACCAAAAACTGACAAACCTGTTTATGCCTTGCTTTCCCAGACCTCTCCTGCTGAGTCTGCTAGGCCTTATTCAGGCCTCTTTAGACAAATTTCACAGTAATTTTATTTCCACTTTTTCTCCAGACATTATGGTTCATGCTTGGCCCTTTTGTCTCTATTTCGAGAGAGGGCACTTGCATGTTTTGCCTTACATAGGCTTTGGTTCATTTTGCCTTAGCTTACCATCAGGTGGATTGTTTTTTGTTTTCTTCATTCTCTGCACTTAGAATCTCTGTTGCCTGTATGGGAGGCTGACCCTCATAATCCTATCCTTTTTTCCCTTGCCAAGTTTTCCGGCCTTCGTCTTCCTCTATCGACTCTCCTACAGGAATTGTTTGCAGTACACATCCTTTCTGTGGCATTCCACCTAATTCTTTGGGATTTTCGTGGGATACCTTCCCCCTCCTTACCTCCACATTGGGGAGATTGCCATCTTTGGCTCTTTCCCTACACATGATTGAGATCCCTCATCCTACCCCCATATGTATTTCGGTTCCCAGTGACTGGGTTTTGGATTATAGTTGACTTACCAATGGTATGATCTTCATCCTACCATTACATGGATGTCGGTTTCTGGTGGCTGGGATTTGGATGCAGTTGACTTGCTATGTATGGTCTGTTGCACCCTAGCCACTCTACACCTTGGGGCACATCCTTTTACTCTCACCCACATTACTGCCTCGCAAGGGATTGATATTCTGATATCATGTTGTTCGGATCCATATCCAAACATTGTTCTCTCCCTTTTTCCACCTATGTTTGCAACACCTCTTTCCACACTGGGCATAGAGTATAACTGGTATAGATGTGGTGCTCTTTGAATGCTTTCGAAGGGTGCTTCTTTCTTTCCTTTGCTCTGGCCACTCCACCTATTCAGTGTGGGATTCTAGCTATATCTGTGAGAGGAGGTAAGGTACCGTATCAAAAGTTATAATTTTTATACTGGAAATTGTGTTTCCAAACGGTACTTACCTCCGCTTACACTTCCCACCCTTCCTCCCAACTAAAAATCAGTGCTTCCATTTTCTACTGAAACTCAAAGTGATAGTTTGGTAGAATTGAATAGAGGGAGTCACATGTATCAGGAGGGTGTGTTGCACTCCTATTGGTGGAGAGGTGTTGCATTATGTTTTACATGCGAGATGCAGTTGAACCACATTGATTGTGGGGAACGTGGGACCTCAAGGTTGTGGCATGGGAAAAAAATGTTTGCATATAGAGGGCAGCACTGAACGAGAATAGTGAGAGGAGGTAAGTAACTATCAGAAATACATCTTCAGTATAGGAAAATTATAACTTTTGAATCACATTTCGCAGAATAATTGAATGCAATTTAAACTTACTTTCATCTTTTTGTTTTTTAATGTAACTGTTTTTGTTGGTGTCTATTATTTGCAGGTGAAGAAAGCCTTTAGTGATGCAACAGAAGAAATTGGATCCCAGTTGGAAAAAGTACGGCAGAGGCTAGAGGCTGAGGAAAATAGTGATGATATCGTAGAAGCACACAAGGTTGTAAATAAGGCAGGGAGAGCTGAAGGTGAAGTCAGGCATTCAAGTTCAAACTTGTTTATTTGTTAATAAAAAAAGAATTGGAGATTATGATCTGCATAAGTTACTATGATGTCTAGTTACTTAAAGTTTAGCTTTTGAAATTTTATTACCTAAACTAAAAAATAAGAGAGCTAAATATTTTAGAAACTGATGCATAGCAAAAAAACAACCAACATATTATTTTAGACTAACTGATTTCACACCAAGGCTGCAGACATGTCAGGCATATATACACAATGTTTGCCAAAATTAGTCAAAAGATGAATATTTTCTTAAAAAAACAAAATAATACTTTTTACTATTAAAGAAAGAAGGAATAACATTCAAAATTCAAATAATGACAGGCCTTGCCAAATAGTGTTACATACTAGAAGTCTGAATGATTATCTCTAATTTTGCACAAAGCATCATGGTTATCAATAAACAATGCTTCTTGGTAAAAATTATTTCTTAAGCTTTATCTTGCTATATTTCTTGTTTTTTAAAGCTGCATGAAAATCTATTGTATTTTATATTAATTTAGCATATCTAAAAAAAATAAAAATAAATACAATATCTTTATTGGTATTACTTCTGTTCGCTAATAGAGAAGCTATTTTAAAACACAACAAACTTCGTTTTCAGAACTCTAGAAAACCACAGATCTCTATAAAAAGCAGTGTTTTATTTATTAATGTGTGTATGTATGAATTATATAACAGATATTTCAAACAGTAAGTTAATCTAAAGCTTTTTTTACATAATATAAATCAAAGTGTATATTTTCCTCCATCCCTATAAATCAACAGCTAGTAAAGAGTTTGATAGTTAAGTATATCTGTTATGAACAATTCAGTAATTCAGCAGACCTACGTGCATGTATGTACATCACCCCTCACCCCCTCCTGCTGCTTTTGCTGCTCTCCACCACTGTTCTTCATATTTCTGGAAGGTTGAAGTCTGTGACCTGAAGACTTTGGACATTCTTTTACCCAGTTTTATACAGAGAAAATATCAAGTATTTAATATTCTATCAAAAATAATTTTAATATTGTAGGTAGTATCCAAGATGAAGCAAATATTACTCCTTCTCAGGAAAACATTGCTGCTGCCAGTGTTCGGGAACGTCTCCGGTCTCGTTTACAACAGGCCAGAGTAAGGGCTTCACCTTTTTATGTTTTGGTGTAATTTTTTAAGGAATAGGTATTGCTTTTTAGTTACTGCTAATTCAGCAGCTGTATATTGTATAATATCTTGATATTAAAGCACCTGATTCACATGTAGCATTAATTGAAAGAAACTGGAACCTAAGAACAGTCTGTAAAACACTGGATTTCTCAGGATCAGATATATTTCACTTTTATACGTGTTGAAATTGGAACATAAATGTGGCAATTTCTTTTCTTTTTTTTTGCTCAAGTGAATATTAATTTTATTGTAACTTTAGAAACAATGACTTAAAAAACGGTCTTATTTCTTTAAAAAAATCTTCAGTAAATGGTAATCAGTTGTCTTTCTGTTACATCTTTACCTCTGAACTAACTTAGTAATAGTAATGGTTGTAAAATTTGATATGATAACATAAGGATGTAAAATTGAAATACATCAAAATAAATGTGTGTTTTCATTTCTTTGTGTTTATGAAAAATCATTCTTGTTATATATTAGGATGATTTTTTCATCTGAAACATACTAGTTTTGTGGTGCAACTTTTTTTTCTGCCCTTATCTGTATAAGAAGTTTATATAAACATAACTTCAGTTTTTAAGTAGCAGTTTTAATCTTAGGGTCACTGACTTGTTTTGATATTGTTTACCACTGGTAGGGACCATATCTTGCATACTGTTGAGTAATTTCATGTTTTGCATATTACAATTACAACATTCAGAGTTGGCCAAAACGATTAGGTAAAAGCATACATTTTCTTTGTAGGATATATGGGGACTCCAAAAGTAATTAATGGAATTAATTGTACTATTGATAGTATTTTTTACTTAACTTTATTGTATGACTCGTATATTATTAGAGATTCTTTACCCAATAAAGTATATCTTGTAAATACCGTATTTTTCGGTGTATAAGACACACTTTTCTACCCCAAAATTTGATGTCAAAATCTGCTTGCGTCCTTTACACCAAAGATATGAATAATATATATGTATATATATGATATACA